AGATATATATTTTTTATATTTAAATAAAATATAATAAAGTATAACATCAATAATAGAAAACTATGCTAGCAGTTTTTGATTTTGAAGACAAGCATATATTTTTATCATGTTATTATAAAAACATGCTTACCTTAGTAAATTGCAAACTGCTGGTACAGTTTTGTAATATTTTTGTTGTGATGTTTGTATATACAAACATCACAACAATACTTCTTTTTTTTTTTTATACATCTTCGCTTCCAAAAAAGCTGCAAGCAACCACTAATTAGAGTTGGAAGTTACTGGAGGAGAAAAGATGAAGATTGTAGAGCAAGATAACGATTGACAGACAACTTAAAAGACTCCAAATTATATTAATCAGAAAAGCAAGATGAAAGAAGCGAATTCCAAAAAACTGATGTTTGATGAAAAACACTAGAGGAATAAGAGTTTTCGGAGCACTTAGGAACCGTCTAAAAAAGGATGAGACTTAATTGAATGACGAGTAAAACGAGAATGAATTTAGTAGATGGCGCAAGAGTCGCTAGCTCTTTAGAGCAGTATCCATTATAGTATTTGTAGAAAAGAGAAAGAGAAGTACCATTACGACGATGTGATAATCGTTGAAGGTTGTCTCCAAGAGCATGTTTAACTATGTTTGCGAAAAACTATAACTTTAGGCAACATCAATCAGTTGTATTTTTTGTGGAAAAAAAGTTGCTTATAATATAATTGACATCATTTAAAGTCTATATTTAAAAAAAATATATGTTTATAATGTAAACATATATTTTTTTAAATATAGCTTTTGTAAACTTTACATCTGCGTATACATGTAAAGGCATATTTTGAAAAAACTTTTTAAAGTTTTAAAAATATTTAAATATATAGACCTGGGCCTCACAGTTTTGGAGGCTTTGGTTCATAGAAAAGTATATTTTTAAAAAAAATTCTAAAAACAAATTTTTGATTTTTGAGTAATTTTTGAGTAAATTTAAATGTCTTTACAAACACCAGTATGGGTTTTGTGCTAAATATTCCACAACTCACTCACTTATTAAAATTACTGAGTCTATTAGAAAAGCTCTTGACGATAAAAACTTTGCATGTGGTGTCTTTGCAGATCTACAAAAAGTTTTTGATAAAGTAGATCACTCTATCCTGCTCAAAAAATTAGAATATTTTGGAATCAGAGGAACACCTCTCAAATGGTTTACTTCCTATCTTCAAAACAGATCTCAGTTTGTCTTAGTCAATGACTCAAAATCTTCACAAATAAATTGTTTCAACGGTGTCCCTCAAGGCTCTGTGTTATAAAACCTCTACTTTTTCTTCTTTATATCAATGACCTTAATAACTCAATTAAGTTTGCAACTCCTTACCACTTTGCTGATGATACTAACTTGCTCATTATCAACAAGTCTTTAAAATAAAATTAACAAATACATTAATCATAATCTTGCATAATTTAATTCAGTGGCTTTGCTAAAATAAGCTTTCTCTCAACTGCATTAAAACTGAACTTGTCATATTCAAATCTAATAAAGCAAAAATCAATAAAAATTTAAACTTTAGATTAGCTGGACAGAAAATCATTCCCGTAAACTCAATCAAATATCTTGGAACTACAATTGATTTCCACCTATCGTTTGTGTCCCATCTTAAAGACTTAGCCATAAAATTAAGCAGATCAAACGGAATGCTGACTAAAGTTTGCCATAATGTTAATCTGGAAACACTATTAAATATATATCATGCCGTTTTTGGCTTACATATACATTATGCTTTTCAAATACGAGGACAATCTCAACAGTAAGCAGTTTTAAGGATATCCCATCTTTAAAATGAAACTTTAAAAATAATACATTTTCAGAATTACAAATTTAATCCTAATGTGATTTATCTTACTCCTAAGACCCTTAAACTATTTGATTTTGTTCAATTCTTGAACTGCCAGTTTGTCTGGAATCACCAACACAAAAATCTACCTCTTACCTTCAGCAATTTCTTTCCCAAAAATGCAAATAACTGATATTATCTTCGATCAATTAATCATCTAAATCTAACAATCCTAAAACATCAAGGTTTTATACTTTGGTTTTTTATGGACTTAAGGATATAAGTCCATAAAAAACCAAAGTATAAAATCTTGGAATAACCTTTCCTATGACCTAAAAGCCATTAAATCTATGCTTTTAAGAGTAACTTATTCCACTCCTTTCTAATCAAACACAGTGAATAAATCCAAAACTATGTATATCTGTGTATAAGTGCTTGTGATAAGCGCACGTGAATAAGTGTGAGTGTATATGAATGTATGTGTATATGAATTCATAGATGTGTATGTCTGTATGTGTATGTTTGTATATATTTATATATGTATATATATTTATATATGTATATATATATATATATATATATATATATATATATATATATATATATATATGTATGTGCATATAAGTATATAATATATATATATGTGTTTGTGTGAGTATATATATATATATATATATATATATATATATATATATATATATATATATATATATATATATATATACATATATATATTATATATATATATATATATATATATATATATATATATATATATATATATATATATATATATATATATATATGTATATATATATATATATGTATATATATATATATATATATATATATATATATATATATATATATATATATATATATATATATATATATATATATATATATATGTATATGTATATATATATATATATATATATATATATTATATATATATATATATATATATATATATATATATATATATATATATATATATATTTGTATATGAATATATGTATATGTGTGTATGCGAATATATGTGTAGGTGCATATAATATATACATATATAATACACATATATAATATTATTAAATGTGTGTATATGTATTTATGTTTGTATATGTGTATGTATGTATGTGTTTATGTATGTGTGTGTATGTATATGTACGTGTATGAATATACGTATATATGTGTATAGTATACATGACTCTACATATATGGGTGTATATAATGTTTGTATACAATTAATGTATACATACCAGTGTTGAATACAGGGGAATATAAGTATTTGTGTTTATATGTATTTGTGAACGTAAGTGTGTACGTGTGTTTGTATGTGTGTATTTGTATGTGTCTGTATATGTGTGTATGTGTGTGACTAATACTAAGTTACTTTTATTTTTTTATGGTTATTGTAATTATTTTTATTTCTGTCGTTTTATTTTTATTATTATCATTTTACTTTTATCATTGTATTGTTATTATTGTTACAACTACAACTTTTATTATTATCATTATTAGTATTTTTACTCCTTAAACTTTTAATGTTCGTTTTGTTACTGCTGTGGACGATTAATACTACTATTAGCATTAACAATATATTTATTAGCTTTTATTTGCAAGGTTTTTACTTAAGGTTAGTACATGTACTATTTGTAAACTTTCGTGAATGTGACAACTATTTCAGAATATATGAATTGACTAATTGATTGATTGATTAGTCATGGAAAGAGGTCTTCTGCTTTAAAATAGTCCTGGGCCCCAAAAAGTCTTGATCCACTACTATACGTTGCTATAATACATTATATTTTATATGTAGATCAGGAATAAAAAAGTGCAAGGAAAAGCAGTTTGCTAATTGATGCTGTATTTTTGTGTCATATATCTTCAATCGTTCTGCATAAAAAAATTGCACATATGAGTAGGAAGGAATCTTGACATGGTTCATATGCTTTAAACAAATACCTTCTAGACAGATACTCTTTCAACCTACTGCGGAGGTGGAGCACTAGCTTATATTCTAAACTTAGCTTATACTAAATGAATAAAAATTTTCAAGTTCATTCCCGAAACCCTTATTGACCGTATTATTTGCGTTCAGAGAGTAGTAATATTCAGGTTATAAGAGTCATTTTAAAATCAATTTTGAGTATTAAAATTGTTTTGTTTATTTTTAGTAGTGTACACTGTGGATTTCAAGAATGAGATATAGATATAATTTTAATTTATGGCTAACTTTATAGAAAAGATAGTGACCCAAATTTAAAAAAGATTTCTAACAAACATAAAAAAAAAATTTGACTTAGTCATAAAATTCTTGTGTCAAAGTAGTATTCAGGCAGGAAGGTCATAATATGGTGAAGTGATAATTTTTTGAAAAGATGAGTTTGTGTAGATGGGTAAAAATTTACAATTGATAAATTGGTTGAAGGCATTTCTTCGACACCTGATAGTAATTGTGCATGAAACGAGATGGGGTTGTGAGACTAGTTGGGGGGTAATATTTACGCAAAAAAATCTCGCCAAAGGAGAAATAAATCCTAGATCAGCCCCATCCGAGCAAAGTATAGTTTTTATAGTTAACGTTGGGCCAATGCATGATGATGCATTGGCCCAACGTTAAAAGTCAATGTTGGCCCAATGCAGGTTTGATCATTGGTTAGGTATTGGCCCAATGTTGTGTACAACATTGGCCCAATGTTGTATACAACGTTTATCCAACATTGGCCCAACGTTGTTTATAACATTAGGCCAATGTTGTTTACAACATTGGACCAATATTGTATACAACAATATATTAGCCTAACGTTTATATTGGGCCAATGTTGTATACAACAAGATATCGGCCTAACGTTTTATGCAACATTAGATCGTTGTTACAAATAAGATGATTTGCATCGCTACATTGAAAATTTATAGAGAAAAAAAAAGAATGTATGATACAAGTATAAACATTTATTTATTTAACGTAATTTCTCAGTTATATATACATATTGCAAACACCAAACTTAAATCATTGAGTTTTAAATAAAAAAATTCACTAGAAAATTTATAGAGTAGTTTCGATATTGGCTGAGCTACTTGTTATTGAATCGTGTTTAGCTTATGATATTTGATGCCCACGAATATTATTTTTTCTTCCGCTATCTCTATCACATGTCTGCATAAGCCATGCTTATTTGACTTCACAGTTTCTGCAAAAAAAATTGTTGTTTGTTTAATTATGCACCAAAGAAACATAACAAATTAAAAGTAATTCTGTAATGCAAAAATAAAACTGAAAAAATAAACTTTTCTAAACTACTTACCAATAGCAATATATGCAATCAACATTTTTCCTATTCCAATTTTTTGTCCTCTCCCGGCATAATTTAATTTTACAGCTAGGCCATTTTAAAAAACTATTCTTAGTAAATAACATATACAATCTCCTTCGTTTTTAACTCCAATTTGTGACAAATAATTGACCTGCAAAAATACTCAACCTGGCAATAATTAAAGTAACTTTTGTTTAGACTTAATTAGAATTAATATAAAATGTCATTTACAAAAAATCTTCAAAGAGTATTTTATTTAAAGTATATAAATTGTACTGAGATATCATACAAAATACATAAACAGATCATAAAAGAATATTTACCATTTACTTAAGTATTTTCTTGTCTTTTTTTCGAGAGTACTTGAATTCTTTACTGCTTTTAATGGCATGGACACTCTTTCAGGGAATACAATAATTAGCATACTTTTGTTACTCAAATTTTTATAACTGAATTTGATGTGTTTTGTAGTTCACTAAGTTGCACTTTAATGCTTGCCCATTGTGCCAATAATACCAGTATATCTTTCAAGGATACAATTTTATATAATTAACAATAAAGTTAATTATATTATTATGAAACTATACAACTAATTACATATTATATTTAAAATTTATGATAGTAAATACAACAATCACTAAAAAAACAGATAAAATTAAAGACATAGGGGCAAATTTTTATTGATAAAAATATATACTTGCTAATGGATTCATAATATTTTTATGAATTACGAAATTTGCAGGTGTGTATTCAATTTCTGGCACTGACACAAAACAATTCTCGTTAAAGTTTAAGATACAGATTGCACTGTAAAACAAAAAAATTCATATTAAAACAATGTTTCTCCAACAGGGTTCGTAGCCAACTATTTATATAAAATTCATGACTTTTTTGAAAAATCAGATGAATTTCCCTGACCATTTTTAATAATGGTTTTTACAAAATGTTCAAAATTACTATCTACTGTAATGGAAATGCTAAGATTGTACATGCTTTGAATGACAAAACTCATAAAACTTAGCTATTAGTTAAGTTGGATATTAGTATAAAGCTTACTATACATGTTAGTATGGATCTTATTATTAAGGATGACTAAGAATGAACACTAAGAAAAAAATATAGGTTTCAGAGAATATAAATGGGTTGCACAAAAAAAAACATAGCTTAATTGAGTATTTTAAAAATGTTACGTCACAAAATTAAAATTTTACAAGAAAATAAAAAACATTTCTCCTGTAAAAAATTTTATTTTTAGTTTATTTAAAAATTATTTCTTTCATCTAAAAAAAATCTTCATTTTATCCAAAAAAAATCTTCATTTTATCCAAAAAAAATCTTTATTTTATCTTATAATTTTATCTTTTCCTAAAAAAAAATTTTCTTTTTCACTTTTAAAAAAAGTGTGACTTATCTCACTTTTAAAGAAAGTGTGCTTTCAAAATACAGCGTTCAATTGTGAAACAAGTAGCTTTTTAACTAGAATTACTGATTTTTTCATGACTATCTAAAGAAATCATTCCCTGACTTTTCCAGGTTTTCCACAACTTTAGCTAATATTAACAAATTTTCCAGATTTTCAAGGTACAGTACGGACCTTGTCCAATGTTTGTAAATAATTTTTTTTACATATTTTAGTTTTGAATTTTATTAATAAAATTTTTAAAAATAATATCATCTATAAAAATATTGTTTTACAATTGTTTATTAGATAAATTTAAATAAACAGTTTTTCGCAACTAAATATAATTTCCGTGGTCAGTATTCGAGACCAAGCCTGTGGTATAAGCTTTGATATGTTGATTATTATACATTAAAATGTTAATTAACACTCTGACCTTTTGACCATAATATATGAAAAAGTATTTAAAATTGTAAAAGTTAAAGCTATGAAAAAAGATTTTCAATCATCAGACATAAAGACTTTTATATAAAAACTTACCATTTAATAAATTTTGTTCATTCAACTTCTCAGAGCAAACATTGAACTTCTGTAAAAAGTTTGGAGTCACAGGTAAATCCCAAAGTTTGATATTAATCTATAAATCAAATCATTAATAATTAAGTTATAACTTAATTGACTATAAATGACTTAATTTAAGTCACAAGAATCTCTTGAAGTTTATTTCTTATAAAAAACTTCAAGAGATTCTTGAAAAAAAAATTTTAAGATTCTTAGAAGATCAATAAATATAGCTTCTTTTTTTTATTTTTATAATTAAAAAAAATGGAAAGATAATATCAAAACCTTTTTTTTACTCTGTCAAACGATACCATTATTAAAAATGTTTCGCAACAAATACTAATCCGGAACTACATTGGCCGAATATTGGCTACTGTATAAATGTAAGAACAGATTTTTATAGCAAAATATTAAGCCTAAACTACATTGGCCAAATGTTGGCCGATAATTGCAAAAAATCGATTTGTAGAATTGCAATATTAAGCCGAAAAAACAACATTGGCTAAATGTTGGCCCAATATAGTACGATATTTGCAAAAAACCAATTTGCAGAATTGAAAATAAAACGTCAAAAAAAAACATTGGCTATATGTTGGCCCAACGAAATAAACTTGCCAATGTTAAAACTTACGTTGGGCAAATGTAAGCTTGCTGTCTGGGATATGCTGATGTAAAAAAAAATCTTCAGGAATATACGTATTTGCCTGCATGCTTTTTAATAATATAATTTTTATTATATCTAGTATCTCCCTTTTTTGTATTTTGATTTTTCTTAACCAATATAAAAACAAAAAGTTAAAGTCGGACACTAAGAACTACGATTTTTATTTATAAAGTTTTTGGAAAAACGTTTTATGTTATGTAGTGTTACGTTTTTTTTTTTTTTTTTGCTATTTTTATTTAAGGTATAGATTAAGGAGTTTGGTGATAAGACAAATTATGTCTTCTTTCTGCCCTGCTATTTTTATTTATATTATGTTTTACGACTTGAATAAATTTATATGGCAAAAAAAAAAAAAAAAAAAGAATCCTTTTTATTAGTCCTTTGTAGCTTCATTTTTAGGCATACTAAAATTTTATTAATTATTGGCTGGTAATATTGATATGTTAAGTTTTTGGTGTTATATTGCTTTGTAAACAGAATATATTTAGTTTTACTGATAATTAATGAAAGTTTATTTACTTTGAGTCAGTTAATAGGTTTTTCCAGATCACGATTTACTACTGTGAAAAATGTTTTTTTTTTTTTTAATGCTGGAGTAAAAATAAAAAAGATTAATTTTATTGTAAAAAGAATTAAGTTAAATATGTCTGAAGATAAGTAGATATCATATACATAACGTAGTAATAATCCAAAAATAAAACCTTGTTGCCGTTTTTTTATTCCACGTGGCTCTAAGTTATGCAGGAAAATTTTGTTATCAACCTTGTTAAATGTTTTTGACGAATTAATAAAGCTAAAAGTGTAATTTTTGTTTAAAAAAACATCGAAGGTTTTATTAATCAACTGTTGCATGATGAGTTGAATGACGAGTTGCATGATGAGTTATTTACCCTTTTCTAAAATTAAACTGTTTTTTAAATTAGACTGTGTTTTTTAAAGATTAATATATAACTTATTTTAAGGGATATTTAATGCATGATTCATTCAAAAAGCTTTTATAAACAGAAAAGTATAATTTTAGAAATAGAGCTTAAATCCAACTTAACTCTGTTTTTTTATACGCAGAGATTAACAGACCAGTGAAAACTTAAATTGATTATAATAGAATGATTGAAAAAAATATGTTAACATAAAGTTAAATGTAAACGTGTTAAAAAAAAAATTAAATATTCAAACTTTTTAAACTATTAAAACTTTAATTAAAATTTATGTAAAATATATATACATGCAATTAAAATTCGCTTGAGTTACAAAAATGTGTCAGTTCTCATAACTGATTGTTATAATAGTTTAGACTCTCCCTCCAACATTGTGTGACATAATAAGGGCGATTTCTAAAACATTAGTTTTTCTTCAGTACATGGCAAAATATTTACGTGTTTCAGTAGCTGAATAAGCTCTTATGTTAAATTTTTGCTTGTAGTAAATGATTTTTTTTTTCAAAACGTCAGCTTTTCTATTATAATTTATAGATATTGTCGTTCAAATAACTTTGATACAAAGTTATGTCAATTGATATTTAGCAACGCTTTACAAGTTAATAAAATAATTAAAAACAAGCATAGTTGCAGCAGAGTGTTACTAAGAACCATCTTGTCAAAAATTAATGCTCGATTGAGAAGGAATGGATATTTTAAATGTTCATCAATAAAAACCTATTTTAATACTTCAAAAAAAAAAAAAAAATTTATTATTTAAAGCATAAAAGCTAATTTGGTAATTTGGTGAGTTTAGTGAGAAAAATTATTGTACAAAAAAAAAAAAATTTTTTACTATAGGAATAGTAAAAAATGTATATTTTTTGATACAATATATTATAATGGGGTTTTAAATGCTATTGACAACACCCTCATATATTGACAACACCCTACATTAGGGTGTTTAAAAAAACATTTTTTTTTTAAAATATCTGCAGCATATACCTTCATGTGTTCTATATAAAATAACACATTTAAAAGTTTCTTGAATAAAAAATAATTTTAGGGGTGCCTAAAGACCCTTGCACATTTTATGGGTCCATAATATTAATAATTTTTTTTTCATAAGTATATCTTGTTGAGTCTCAAATGAAGCGAAATGAATATGAAAATCTCATAAACAATCATCATCTTATAGAAAAATATTATTTTAGATTTTAATGCCTAGAAAATGACAAACTAAAAATTAAATTTTTTACAAAGTACCTAATAAAAATCATACCTAAATAGGTATAATTTTTTTTTTATCAATGTTTTTTTTATAAAATTTCCATTATTTTTGAAGTTTTTTTTTTTTTGATACCCAACAAGACATACTTTAAAAAATTTTTTTTTTTGATGTTTAGGACCCGTTAATGATTCAAGGGTTTTGAGGCATCACTAAAAATATTTTTAGTTCAAAAATCTTTCAAATCAAGTGTTATTTTATCATATAGAACACATTAAGGTGAGAGCTGCAGATATTTTTCCTAAATATTATTTTTCAAACCACTTTAACGCACATATTTTTGAAAAATTCAAAATAAAGTGAAACAAAGAAACAACATTATCAGGTTGAACAAAACAAAATTGTTATTTAAATTGCTAAAAAATTACAAAGATTAAAGAAATAGGAAAAACTTTAAGTAAGCTTCTTTACATTCGACAATCCGATCCGAATATATACTTTTCCAGACTTAAAAATTTTCCTAAATCTTTATGCAATCCACATGTATGACACTCCAAATAAATATTGAGTAACTATAAACTAAAATTATTAAACATAAAGCAAAAAATAAAATATTTTAGGTTTTTACAATAATTTTGTAGCAGAGAACATGGCAGGATAAGAAGAGAAATAAGATGACTTTTCGTTTAGAGAATTGTACTCAAAAAAACTTTTCATAGCATCTAATTCTTTTTGCAAGGAAGCAATGCGATTACGTAGCTGATCATTTTCTTCTGTTAGCTCACCAACACGCATTTGAGTTTCAATATGCTTTAACTTAGCTTTTGTTCTACTCTTTCTAACAGCAACATTATTTCGCTCACGTTTCACTAAATACTCTTCACTGCCTTTTGACATTGTTTTTCGACTCTTACTACGGGGTGACTTTAGTTCATTTCTATGACTAACATTATCATCACCTTTACTTTGCTCCAACTTTATTAAAGCAGCTTTCAATCTTTGCGCATTAAAATCTAAAACTTCAACATTAATTTCGTCATCAGAGTCATTTTCAGAAGTACCACTACTACGAGGAATATATTGAAATTGATTTATCATTAAACCACCTTTCTGATATCTTGGATTAATGATATTGTCCTGAAATTGGGGAGTAGGAAAATCTCCATTGTCAAAATCATGTTCTGGAAGTAAGCTCTCTGGTGTTGAGCATCTTGAAGTAGCCGTCGAGTCAGGTTCTTTCTTTATTTTGATTAAACCTGGTAAATGTCTCTGAAGCGCATCTTTTGATAATTTTCCATGAAATAAATCATCAAAGAACTCTCCAGGAGCTGCAGGTAAATCAGCTGTAGAAAGATATTTTGAAAAATCAAGGACACATTCAGAAAATAAACTGTCAGTTGGTGATTTGACAGCATTATCAGATTCCATATTAGGTACAGCTTGTATATCAGTATTCTTAATATTTTCCATACCTTGAAAAATAGCTGTTGGAATCATAAAATTTTTGTTTTGTGATGTTATTGATTTCGACACGATCAGTTTATTTGAGTGATGTTGTATTGGACTCTTTTTTTTTTCAAGATACTCAGTGGCTTTCACAAAACATTCCTAAAGAAAATAAATTTAAATAAATAAACATATATATATATATATATATATATATATATATATATATATATATATATATATATATATATACACACACATATACATATATATATATACATATATACATACACACACACATACATATATATATATATATATATATATATATATATATATATATATATATATATATATATATATATATATATATATATATATATATATATATATATATATATATATATATATATATATATATATATATATATGATTTTACATAACAGTTGGATCTTTTCAATTGGTAATAATTAGGTATGATTTTTAAATGTTGCAAAGTTACTACAATATTACTTCAATGGTTTAAATTAAAACTACCTGACTCTCAGATTGTATTTCAGCCAGGTTTGTAATTGGTCCTTATCTAGCTATAAGCAGATAGGTATGCACACCGGTTTTGATATCTTGTTTTTGTTCGACACAAATCGACAGTTCCTGAGGAAAACTTTAAGAGAACTAATTCTGAGCATTTTTTTGGAAGTTGAACTGCTTTCGGGAAGCTTTGCAGCTGATTGGTCAAAGAAAATCAATAACAATTGATAAGAATGCTATCCTACTGTGTTTTCAAATAGTGAACTTTAAATAAATAATATAATAGATATTTTATTCCGGGGGTTTAAATGTTGCTATCTTTTTTTTTTTTATTGTATAAATTTTTTTATAAGTCAACATATGCAAACAACCGAAAAAGAATTTAAATAAAGAATAATTTTTAAGTTGTATAATAAATTTTTAATAATTTTTGTTTTAAAATTTACATAAAAGTCATAAAAATATTAGTCCTATTTTATACCGGGCTGGCACTGAATGCTGTCAATTTGAATTGTAAAATAATAATATTTTTTGTAATATTTTCGGTTTTGGCAAGTTAGAATAATTAAAGTTAAAAATAAACAAAAATATAAAAAAATGATTTTTATAAAACTTTAAAAATTGAAAAAAGATGTTTAATTTAAATGTTCAACAAAGTAACAATAATCATTAAAAGTCAAACTCTGATTAAACGTATTGTCTTATTTATCGTCACAAGTGAGGGAGGGTTTAAAGAAAATCTATTATTAAATTATTGATAACCTTTGCAGTAGTTATTATATCATAAGGTTAGTGTAAATCATTTGCGTTAAAAAAATATAATTTATCTGTGTTTCCAATATCAACAATAGCAATCACTGAAAACACTTTTTTTTTAATTTTGAACAGTTTAAATTAATTTAATAATCAAAATTTTTGTGACGCACCAGAAAGTTTTTTTTTGTAAGTAGGGAGGATTTTTTTTTTGAAGGATTAGCAAGCTTACCAATTATTTTATAGACACATAATAATGATGTCACTTCTACCAAAACAAAATAAGTTAATTAAGTTTTACTAGTTAACTGGAAACATTCTTTATCATTATATCTAGATAATAATTATTCAAAAAAAAATATCGTTCTAGACGCCTGACCTTTATTTTAAAAGATTTATTGTTTCTTAAAGGTTTATTGTTTCTTAGAGTTTTTAAAAAAACAACTATTATAAAACTGAATAGAGTTTAAAGGTTAGCAAAACTTGTTTGTTGTGTTATTTTTGAAGCAATGCCAAACTTTCGAAAATAATAATAAAAATAATAACCGACCTTCGTATAAATGATAATATTATGAATTAATCAGTTAATCCTCATTAACCAAAACAGAAAAACACAAATAAAATGAAAAACTTAATGCAATCGAAACAATCGCATTATAAAAAGTAAAACCTTTTTTTTCTTTTTATAACTATATAATTTTTCATGTTAACAAAAATGTACGTTCAAAAACTAAAAAAAAACAAACTTCTATTTGATTACTTTAAATCTCAAATTTAGCGACCTTCTTTAAACTTTAATCTCAATTTTCTTGACAAGTCTTTGTTAAATTAATACTTAAACTTCATAAGTTTCTGTTGGACTGACCAATATCATATACAAAATTAATAGAACGCTACCGCTTGGAGCGCCTTTTAAATATCTGTTTTTAAAAAGACTGACAGAAATCTAATGTTTTAGAACCAAGTCTAAAAAAAGATTAGAATTCAATCAGGAACTGATGGACTTGGAGTAGTTAATAATTAGGCATGTCGCTTAGTTAGATCTACAAAAAGTTTATTATACTATATTAAACTATTAAAGATAACTACAACAAAAAGACAACTAAAAAGTGGTAATAAATTTCAGACGTTTTACTGAGGCCTACCTTGTTTTCAACCAATTATAGTATTTTTTTTAATTTTTTGACCAACTTATGTCGTTTTCATTTTCAACCGATTTTTCTGCCGATTTTAGAGATTTTGATATTAAACTGATTTGAGTTAATCTAATTTTTTTTTTTGCGATTTTTATTTTAGCATTCTCGTTTGTTTTTTTGTAACTTTTTTATCCTAGCTTTTATTTTTTTAAAAGAATACAATTAACAATAAATTAATAAATAAAAATTTTTTATATCAGACATCGAACCTAATACCTCTTGATTCTGAAGCCAGTGCTCCAACTTCTGCGCTACGGCTGATCAAATTCGGCTCTGATTCAAATCAACAAAAAATTATACCAAAAAAATATACCGGAAAATGTGTGGTTAAAAAACAGGTCGGAAATATAGTTAGTTGAAAATTCAGTCAATCGAAATCTCAGTAGGTTCGAAAATTATTAGTTCATGTTTTAATAAGTTGTAAAGTTTTAAAAATAAAAAAGTCGTCGGTTAAAAATCAAAATCAAACTACGATTTTAGAAATTTTAAAATTAGGTTTAGTTATAGTTAGGGCCGGCGCGAGTAGGTGTTACGTGGGTGGGTGGGGGTGCCATTACAACTTTTGCCGACAAAAAAAAAAAAAAAAAAAAAAGGTCCTCGTTTTCCAAAATTTGCCGACTATCATGACGACATTTACCGACTGTCTAACCTCTAACCTATATCGAAAGGGTCGACATTTGCCAACTGACTAGTCTAAAACGGTCCAATCTGCCGAATAAGGGTCCAGTTTGCCGACTAAAAATCATTGATGGGGGGGGGGGTTGTCACACCCCTCCACACCCCCCTATCGCGCCGGCCTTGGTTATAGTGCATCGGTTTGTGATAGTTTAGCTTTTTATTAGCAAAAAAGATTTAAATTTTAACATTTTTTTTTTATTTTTTAACTTAAAAGTTTTTAAGTATAGTTTCTTTTTACTTAACCAAGCACCTTAGGGTTCAATAATCATAAATTTAGTTTTCAATATTTAACACTTTTTTTTGTAAGTCCATTTTTTTTCGTGATGTTGATTTTATTTGAACTTAAAAAGTTATAAAAATATATCAAACTCTTATCTCATGTAAATAAGAATTAGATATCAAATAATCATTTTAATAACACGGTAATCATTTTATATTAAGTAGTTTACTAATCTATTCAAGTAAATTCTAATTATTAACATCAACCAAAACAAATAACATTGATTTTTGCATGATGCTCGCAAAAGTTAAATTGTAGAAATTATAAAACCAGATGATGGTAACTAAAAACGTTTACAGCATTATAAAAAAATATATTTAAATTAATCCAAGCTGGCAGAAGTGACCCGAGACTAACAAGATTTTACAGATAGATAAAGCAACCGATTTACAAATTTCTACATTTTTTTCTTCTTGTTTTTTTCGTAGTACACAAGAAATTGTTAACTAAACCTTGGTATGTGCATTATTGCGTATATTATACAAACAAGTATACCCTCATTATTGTATTAAGAATTTTATTCATGCTTTTACAGAATCTTTTTTTAATCAATTTTTAAATTATTCTAAATCAAGTATTAAGTAGTATCTTTTAGCAATTTTTTTTTAATATTAAAATAGAAACAATATAAAAAGAACATTTTATTTATAAATATTATATTCCAACGCTATTGTGCCAGCCGGCCTTCTAGTTTCCCTTTCGGAATTCAAACTCGTATTAACACTTGTTTGTCACAATCCAGACGTAAATCAAAAACACGTTGATTTCATTTCTCGAGTCTTACACGTGTTCTATAAGGTTTTAAATTCATATTTAAATATCGCAAGTCTTTATTACTGAATTTGAATTTGTTAGTATAAAATAATTCTACGCTTCCGTAACGGTAAAACCATTAGTATCATAATTGGTGTTTTGGTAAATAATTAATCTCACAGAATGGAACTCTTTTATTGACACGTGTTTGTTTTTTTGATTTGTTTTAGACAGTTTTAAAACATGCAGCAAAAACCATACGTAAATTTTTATAAAGTTGTGTTAAGTACCAGAAAAACTGTTGCAGTCAAAAATATATTGCGTTCGTTTGACTTGCAAGACAAACGATGATATAAATGATGGTTTAATGTAGCTGATGGTTTAAATGATGATATAAATGACGGTTTTAGATGATATAAAGGATGCTGGTTTTATTGTAAGTTACAGCCAATTGGCTGTAACTTATACTAAAACCAGCATCCTTTATATCATCTAAAACCAAATCAAGCTAGCAAGCCCTTTCATTAATGTTTGCGGAAAATTTAGGTTTTCAAATGACCAAAATTCTGAATAGATAATTGCAATCTAGAAATTACTCATAATAAGGTTTTTTATTATCATTTACTTCTGTATCATATTTTTTGTTTTTTTGCTGTTATTTATTGTTTAAAAGTTTTTACTTATTGTCTAAAGGATTATATAGTATTAGTGTTTTTAGTTTTGGTTAGTGGTCATTAGCAATGTGGTCATAACCATGTGGTCATTGTAAACATGTGGTTTTAATGCAACAACAGAAATGGTTCATTTAATTTAGTTGATGTTAAAATTAATTAACACCTATTCTATTTAGTTAAATTATATTATATTTTTGTTTTTAACGTTCAAAATGTGATTTGTTTTATTGAGTTTAAAAAAATAAATACTTTTTATACATCAAAAATGCATTATAATTACACCATACATAACTTATTTCATAAAATGAACGACTATATTAATTATATCAAAAAGCTTTAATATATTCTCAATTATTTACTAAGTAAATATAAGTATAAAATAAAAGTATATTTGTGGTTTATTGTTTACAATATGTAATAAAAACATTTTAAAAAAAGATTTGTTTGCATGCATAATCCAGCTGTCCTGTGACTGTACTTTAATCCGGCGCTGTTTTTTTTTTTTTTTTGTGTACAACGTTTTATTAAACTGTTGATGCAACTGGTATTATTATCTATTTGGTTGCCTAGAGCTTATCATAGTGACAATTGGATATGAATCGGAGAATAGCACCAATGCAAAACAGTTTTTTTTTTTATCAAAACAAATGTTACTTAAAAAATTTTTGAAACTCAAATCTGTTTTTAAATTGATGCATAAATAAAAAAATATCCATATAGCCACAGTAATAAGTTATTATCATCATCATAATAATTATGCATCTGTTCCCATGACGATTTTTATGAGTCCTTATCTCATTACTTATAAACATATTTAATATTTTTTTAAATTTTTTATTTTAGGTGCGCCAAGAAGTCCTTACGGTCTTA